GTGCTCGGTGGAGCTGACAAGGGCCGGCTGGCATTGCTCTGAGGGAGCCAGAGAAGGCAGGAGGCATAAGATAACCGAAACACCAATCACAGGAATTGCCCGGCATAGGAAGTCCAGGCTCTCCCAACTGGAAGAGTGCCCCGAGTGTGAGCTGTAGGTTCCATTTCACTAGACACAGCCCTCAGCCATCGGGAGAACAGGGTTCTCATTATCCATGAAGATACTAAGGTGTCCCCCCCACCCCCACCCCCACCCCTGACACCTGACACCTGGCACTTGACTCGGTGAGCCGAGAACAACTCACAGCAATGGCAGTGTGTGCGGGTGGTGTGACCTGCAGCGGGATCTCTGAGCGCCCAACACCGACATGTGACCCCTTTGATTTCTTAACTTGGGGCAGAAGTTGAAGCTCCATAGTGCATCTGATCAATACCCTTCTCTTTTTAAAAAAATTGTTTTATTAGGGGCTCATACAACTCTTATCACAATCCATACATAACAGCACATTGGTACATTCATTGCCCGCATCATTCTCAAAACATTTGCTCTCCACTTAAGCCCCAGCATCAGCTCCTCATTTTTCCCCTCCCTCCCCACCCCCCCTCGTGAACCCTTGGTAATTTATAAATTATTGTTTTGTCATATTTTGCCCTGTCCCACGTCTCCCTTCACCCACTTTTCTGCTGTCCGTTCCCCAGGGAGGAGGTCACATGTAGAGCCTTGTAATCAGTTCTCCCCATCCAACCCACCCTCTACCCTCCCAGTATCACCACTCACACCACTGGTCCTGACGGGATCATCCGTCCTGGATTCCCTGTTTCCAATTCCTATCTGTCCCAGCAACACCCTCCTCTTATTATATTATCGCCGCCATCAAAGGACTGGGCACACCAGTCTTTTTGTTGAGAAACACACAGACATCTCTGAAGAGTGTGACTCTCACATAAGGCGGTATTTAACTCGGACCTTTTCAAGGTGAGGAGCCACGGGGGAGGGCTGAGAGCCTCCAGGTCAGAAGTTTGAAACCACCAGCTGCTCCGTGGGAGACAGGCAGGGCCTTCGACTCCTGTGAAGGGTTACAGACCTGGAAACTCACTGGGGCCGTTGTCCCCTGTGCCGTGGGCTCATTATGAGTCGGCCTCCACTCGATGGCAGTGAGTGTGTGTTTTGTTGGGGGTTTCTTCTTGTGGGTTTGTTTCTTTAGATGCAGCGTGATTGTCAACTATCTGAGTGCAGTGTGGTGAAGTCCCCCACCCTAAGCTTGTCCGGCTCAGTGATGTCCCGCCTGTCACCCAGCTGCTGTTGCCAGGCTGGGGGCAGTTCCCGAGATAGGAGAGCAGTGTGGTGGTGGGAGGCTGATTCTGGGGCATTCTGCTTGGGCTCACAGGAACTCCGTGCTGCAACTGGGCGGGTACCTTAGCCCGAGTATCAGCTTCTTCATAAGCCAGTGAGTTTGGCCTTCTTAACCAGGTGGCTGCGTCCGATCGTGATAGAGCCCAGAGTGTGGTTAAGTTTTGTTTCGCGTAAGCATTAGCAGCTGATACTGCCCTTTGTGTTGAGGCCCCGTCTCACCTGTGCAGCCAGCTTTTTCAGCGCACACAACACCTGCACGTTTACGATACGTGTCTCTCCATCACGATCAGCCTCGCTCAAACCATCATCATCATCTCAGTGGGACCTCCGGGCTGCTAGAGTGTGGGAGACACCCAGAGGTGCTCAGAGAATGCTTGGGTCCTTCCAGGACCACAGGGCTCTGCATGGGCTGTCCCACCGCCTCTCAGACCCCAGCCTTGCATGCTGTCCCCCACCGGCTTCCCTGCAGCCACTGCCCGCTGTGCCGAGCTTACACAGGCCACGGGCCTTACTCCTGCAGGGATCCCTGGCGCCCTCTGTCAGCCTGCCTCTCTTGTGGCTCCCGGGTCTGAGTCCCTCCCACGTGCTGCTGAAAGAGGCCCCACCCCACTCCCCAGCGCACATCATCATCTCACCCAGTTCAGCATCACCCGGTCAAAAGGGCAGGTCCCATTGTCGTGGGGAGTCACTTGCAAGGGCACAGGCTCTCATGATAGCTTTCTTCCCCCTGGTATGCTCTTACGACGCCCCAGCCTCGGGCCCTTCCTCTCTATGGACTCTAATGCCCTGGCACACCCTTTGCCCCAGGTGTATGTGATTGAGCCCAGCAGCATGGAGTTCACCCCGTGCCCCGTGGAGGCCCGAGTGGGCCAGACGCTGGCGCTGCCCCTGAGGATCAGCGGCCTCATGCCCAGTGGCCTGGGTGAGGTAGTCCCCCTGAGCGACTGCTCCCACTTTGACTTGGTGGTGGAGGTGGAGAACCAGGGCGTGTTCCAGCCACTCCCAGGTAAGCAGTGCTGCTGGGGGTGCCAGCCAGGGGCGGGTGGTGGTGGTGGTGAGGAGAGGGGTAGAGAAGGAGGTCTTGAGTCAGACCAACTGAGTGTCAACGCCAGCTGTTTCAGAATCCCGAATAGAGAGCCCAGTGCAGCAAGGGGGACCTCCCTGTGCAGCACCAATTGTCTGCATTGAACACTGAGTGACAGAGGACTGGAAACAGCTGTGGGATGCTATCAAGGACATCATTCCGGAAGAAAGCCAAAGGTCTTCCAAAAGGCAGGAAGAAGGAAACTCTCGGTTGAGGCCTTTGCTCTTAATTGTAGAGTCGCTAAGGTGAACGGAAGAAACCAAGAAGCCAGAGAACTGAGCAGAGAATTCCAAAGGGCGGCTGGGGAAGGCCGTCAAATGTTGTCATGAAACGCGAAGGCCTGGCGTTAGAAAACCAGCTGGAAGAACACGCTCAGCACGTCTTAAACGGAAAGAACGCAAGAAAACATTCAAGCCTCAAGTTGCAATCTTGAACGGTTTTCTGGGCATAATGTTGACCGATGCAGGAAACATCAAAAGACGATGGAGAGAAGATACAGAGGCACAGCACCAAGGAGAATGAGTCGTCATTCCGCCGTTTCAAGAGGTACCATCCGAGCAAGAACCAATGGTACTGAAGGAAGTCCAAGTTGCTGACGTCATTCGCCAAAATCAGGGATTAATGGATTAACAATTGAAATGTTTTAATGAGCTAACGAAGCACTGGAAGCATTCACTCATGGATGCCAAGAAATTTGGAAGACAGCTACCTGGCCAACCAACTGGAAGCGAGATCCTCCACCACCATCCCAACACCCCTACCCACCCCACCCTGCACCCCAAGCTGTGAGCATCGGTCACTTCTCCCTAGCATCCCTGCAGGGGTGGGCAGTGCCTGTGGCAGGGGCAGTTGTTCTGTGGCGTGTCAGTTCTACCAGGTGTTCAGCTAAGCACGCTGTATGCTTGTCTGTAGGTTTGACAGTCACCTTAGAAGAAGGTGAGCCCAGGGCGTCAGATCAGGAAAGCTAGACCGTGGGGCTTGTCCCAGGGCACGTGGCATCTCCTGCAGGTGGGATGCAGATCCTGTGTCTCAGATGAGACTCTGGGGGGCTCTCATCACCTAGGGCAGGGGCGGGCACTTTCTCTTATTTGCAGATGAGGGGAAATGAAGGATGGGCGATTCTTTGGTGTGTGCCTGCACGTGCCTGGGGACTTGGAGCAGTGGAATTTGTCAAATCCCGAAGAGCTGTTAGTGTCCAGGCAGCAGGGGAGCCTAGGAGGGCTATTGAGCAGAGGAGGGATGTGATCCAGTGTGGGGAGGCTTAATTAGCAGAAGGTGTGCAGCATTGCCAGCAGCCTTAACTGCTCTGACACCTTCGGCAGCTGTGATTGCTTCCTTGAGCTGCTTTCATTTGCAATCGCACCGAGGTAAAAAGTCGGCATCCCTGAGCAACCACTGAGCAGACAGCCCCCCTGCCTTCCCTGGAGGCCCCGCTCTGACTTGCCAAACCATCGGGACTGGAGCCATATTAGATCCTTAGTGTTAACAGCAGAGACACAGGTGCTGACAGCTGGAGAGGATCCAGATCTCCCTTCTTGGCCAGCCCTCCATGCCCGAGAGAGGGCCCCTCGGGCTCCGGGTAAGGACCGTTTCTAGAGGCCCGCAGAGAAGAAAGCAGATCAGGATTGCTTCACCCGATCCTGTCTGCGCCCATGTACTGATATGTGTATGATGTTGGGCAAGTTACCTGGCTTCTCGATAGCAGCTTGCCCATCTGCAAAAGGGGGCTAACAGCCACTGCTGGGTGGGAGGGTTGCCCGTGAGCACCAGATAGCACTGTGAGAGGGCTTCCTTCCAGAGCAGACAGAAGCCCTGCAGCTTCAGAACGCCTCTTAGGAAGCACCTCACCTCCCACAGTGCTGCACATCCCTGGGTTTGTGCAGACCTGTGTGAGGGCTGGTGTTGGACGAAGAACACATGCCTTCCATGCTGGCCCCTGGGTACTGTGGAGAGGGTGCTCCCATTCTGGAAAGCCAGGGGCACCAGACCCAGACCAAGTTCAGCAGAGCCACACCCCTGCTGTCGGCTCATCACCTCTCAGGGTGCAGAGACAGGCAGATTGGAACACCTATCTGGGGTAAATGAGATCCCCTCATCCTCTCTTCCTGGCCTGTGTGCACCTGCCCCACCCCCCACCCCTGCCCCACGTATTAATAAGCCTCTTGAGTTCAAAGCCCATGTGACTCGTGTCTACAGAGATGTGTACAGAAGGCCCTCAGGGCAGTGGAGAGACCGCCAAGCAGGGGCTCAGGGCTGACGACAGAGCCGGAGCTTGGCCTGCACGGCCCGGCATCACCGCGGCACCCCTCTGCAGCTAGGGGCCAGCTAGGGGCCAGGTTTCCCTGTTCAGGACTCCTGTTGTTAGCACTTCTTCCCAGCTGTGCAGAGGCCGCTCCTCGAAACGTGGCGGCCCAGACTCTGCCCAGCTGGAAGCCAGCAGGCTCCAGGGCAGGGCCCTGGTGCCCGTTGCCCTTGTCGTGCAGAGTTCCTGGCCGTAGGTTTTCAGGGGCTCCTGGCTGTTCCTGTGGCTGCTGTGCCCCCCTCCCTTCTGGGGTTGGAGGGACTCCAGCGTCCATTGGCAGAGTAGCAGGCACTGAAGCACACCCAGGGTCAGGTCGAGTGTGGGGAGGACTGGTTCACGGATGTTCACGGCAGCTCTCGTCACCTGGGAAACAGCCATGAGCTGGTGAGTGGGTCCAAGTAGAACACCCCCCACCCACCCTGGAGCACTCCTCAACAAGGAAAAGGAAGCTCCTACAGATACACGCAGCCACATCAGTGAATTTCAGGCATATGCTGAGTGAACAGAGCCAGACCCAACAAGCTCATCCCTGTTCTGTGAAGGTTTAGGCAAATGGACGGATGATGACATAGGCCGTTGATTGGTGGTGGCCAGGGGCCGAGGGGAGGAAGGGTGGGTGGGGAGTGATGGGATCCGGGGACTTCTTTTTGGGGTGATCCAGTGTTATAAAATCAGATATTTGTGATAGTTGCACAACTCTGCATATACTGAAAATACTAAATTGTACACATGAAATGGGTGAGTCCTGTGCTTTGTCAATTATGTTTCTATAGCACTCTTATGAAAATCTAGTGATAGAATAAAGTCAGAATGAGCCAGTAATTGCCTCTGGGCGCTGGGGATTGTCGGAAGGAGCCTCCAGGAAGTTCCTGGGAAGATGTCTGTGTTTCATGTCTCGATACGGCACTGGGTCCCACAGATGTATGCATATGTCACACGCAAGGAAGGGGTCCCTGGAGACTTGTGCCTGGTGCCTGGTGCTTTGCCACATCTCCCGAGAGAATCAGGACTGTTCTCAACAGCCAGACTGTGGACGTTCCAGAGAATGTCGACCTTTCCCTGGAGGGGTGGGGGCCCTTCAATCACCTCAGCGCAGACCTCAGTCTCCTTGGGAAGGAAAAGAAGAAGGCTTCGGGTTGACAGGTGGTGGGAAATAGAAGGAGCCGGCGACAGTCTGCACTCTCTGTAGTCACGCACCAAACACGATCAAGGGGGTTACGCCGGGCTTCCCATAGCCCACTTCCACATCAGCGGGGTTATTCAGGAGAATGGGTCTCTGGTTGAGATCTGTAACTTCTCGGGGAAAAATACATCCAGAGGGTTCGCAAGAGGACAGGTGCTTGTGCCGTTCCCCAAGCCCACTAGGATGAGCTAATTCTTGAAGGAAACAGCATTGAGCTTGCATCAGATTCAGCTGCTTTAGTTCTATGTCTCTGAAAAAGGAACAGTTCACCAGGCTGACGAGGAAGATCTAGGAGGTGTCCAGCTACCGTCTGGAGGGTCCCTTGAGACCTGTCTGAAGCTTTGATGCAATAAAGTTTACCTAATGGAAAAAAAACCAAAAAGACTTGTGCATTTCACTGTGTAAATCCAACCTTGGGGAACCTTAAACTGATAGTGAATTTGCATGCTGAACTGTTTAGGAAGGAAGGGCACTAAAGTCTCCAAATTATCTCCAAATGCATGAAATAAATAAGCTGGATCGATGGGTGGCGAGAGGGACGGAGAGATGTACCTCAAGGCACATAGAGAAGAATGCCCAGTGTAGGCGCCAGCTGATGAGTCTGTGGGCATTCAACTTTGCTCCAGCATGAAGCGTTACAGAAGAACACACCACGGAATGCCACAGCAGCCACCTCACCCATGCCCGCCCCCACGTGACTCTCCTGTAAGAAGATGGTGTCTTGGCACAGATGTCGAGTCGGCTGCTGCCAGCCGTGAGAATCAACACAACCATTTGGGGGGAAGATTTGGGCGATAACTGACAAAGCCGAGCGAATGTGTTCCCTGTGACCCAGCAGTTTCATTTTAAGTATCCGTCAACAGAAAAGCCCCAATGGGTTCCCCAGCAGATGTACGCAGACGTGTGCGCAGCAGTATAGGCGATGGCCCCCACTGGAACCACCTGACTGTTAGTCCGTCGTCGTCGTCACCCGCCAGCTCCAGTGCATAGCAACGCGATGGAGACTGGAACAACGCGGTGCAGGTCCTGTGCCACCCACACATCACTTACGCCAACACTCGTGGTTACAGCCACGGCGTCCGCCCATCACATCCAAGGCCATCGTGTTTTTTTCCGCTGACCCTGCACGTCACCAAGCAGGATGTCCCTCTGCAAAGGACTGGTCACTCCTGATAGCAGATGTACATACCACAGTATGTAAAGACGGGGTCTTGCCGTCCTCACCTCTAAGGACCCTTCTGCCTGTTTTCCAGCAGCCCAGGGTCCTTTCCTGTGTGCCTCACCGGCACCAGAACTCAAAGGCATCCAGTCCTGGGTCTTCCAGCTCTCCCATGCCATCCCCGCCTGGACCGGGCACTTCTGTAGTCCTCACAGGGTCATCGCGGCTCTCCAGCACGCTCACAAAGGCCTCGTGCAGCAGATCGGCCCAGTGCAAATCTTCCTCGTCTGCCCTTAGTCTGGAAGCGCTGCTGAAACCTGTTCACCCTGGGTGACCCTACTGGCATGTGAAATACCAGTAACCTAGCTTCCAACCTCACAGCAGCATGCAAGTCGCCCTCGTACGACAAACTGGCCGGCGAGGGGTCGCCACCAGTCGTAATGTGGTTCAATCTATTCTTGTACGGCTGTGCGATAGAATTTGCATCTGTACAGAAATGTGGGTAGAAGGAGGACTCTCACGGTGTTCAGTTGAAGAGGCCAGGTGCCAAAGAGTTTATGCTCAGAAACAAGACAATGTTGTGCTTTAGTAGTGCCTGGTATGGTCTGATCTATAGGGCGGTGCCTGGAAAGGTCCACAGAGTTTGTGGGGAACTAGTCTTAGTCTGTTCTTGAACCAGGTACACAGATGCATTCTGTTTGTGAAAAAGGAAAAAAAATCATTGGGTGTTATATACTTTGGGTGTGTGTATTCTGCTAAAATTTGTAAACACTAAAGTTAAACGATCTGAATGCATATGGCATCCAGTAAGGGAGAGGGGCTCTTCAGTCCGGTGTCCACAAAGGAGAGGCATGGTGGCCATTTGCTTGTCTCCTTCTGGCTGCAGGGAGGCTCCCACCAGGGGCTGAGCACTGCAGCGGTGTCCAGGTGCGAGCGGAAACCCAGGGCTACACCACCCTCCTCGTGAGCTACAAGCACAGCCACATCCACCTGAGTGCCAAGATCACGATCGCTGCCTACCTGCCCCTCAAGGTGAGCTCTCCACTCTCTGCCCTCCCTGCTTCTCTGAGAGAAAACTGATGCTGGAAATCGCTCTTGCAGCAGCTCCAGGTCAGCTCTAGCGTGTGGCTTTTGGCCCCGCGTCGGGGGTCTGCCTGGAAAGGGAGAGCACCGCGGCTTCGCTCCCTCCATCTCTCCCGATCAAGGCTGAGTGCTGGCACCAGGGCACCAGGAGGGGGCACGCTGACAGCTCTTGAAATGCTCCCAAGGGTGGCAGGGTGCTTCTGGTGGAATCACGAGTCTTGGCAGCTCCCCTTGGGGTTCGTGGGGACAGTGTCTTGGGGTCTCTCTCTCACACACGTCTGGATTCTGCCTTTGAGTGACACCAGGAAATCACGTCCTGGCCTGAGCCCTTGTCGGCCTCTGGGGGGATGGGGGTGGGAGGGTCCCAGCCTTATGTGGTTCCTGGTTCAGAGCACCCTGAGCTCCCACAACAGACTGCTAGACTTTTAAAATTTTTTAATCATTTTATTAGGGGCTCGTACAACTCTTATCACAATCCAGCCATTCATCCATTGTGTCAAGCACATCTACGTTTGTTGGCATCATTGTTTTTGCTTGAGCCCTTGGTATCAGTGTCTCATTTCCCCCCTCCCTCCCTCACGAACCCTTGATCATTTATAAATTATTATTATTTTTTCATGTCTTTTACTGACCGATGTCTCCTTTCACCCACTTTTTTGTTGTCCATCCCCCTGGGAGGGGATACTTGATAGATCATTGTGATCGGGTCCCCCTTTCTCTCCCCAACACCCCCCTGCCCTCCTGGTATGGCTGTTCTCAATATTGGTCCGGAGGTGTTTATCTGTCCGGGATTCCCTGTGTTTCCAGCTCTTATCTGTACCAGTCTACATGCTCTAGCCAGATCTGTAAGGTAGAATTGGGGTCATGATAGTGGGGGGGAAGAAGCATGAAAGAGCTGGAAGAAAGTTGTGTGTTTCATTGGTGCTACCCTGCACCCTGCCTGGCTGGCATTCACCAACTGCGAGTCTGCCTGGGGCCCTCTCTGGGCCTCAGTGCCCTCATCTGTAGAGTGGGGCCGACACCGCACCCACCTCAGAGTAGACACGCACATGAATATGAGGGGCTTGGCATCGTGGTGAGAGAGGACCGAGCAAAGGCTAGCAAAGGCTCTCACCCCCCAGTGGACGGGGCTGCTCCGTAGGATGGTAGATGGAGGTGCGATGTACTGCTTGGACCCTGTGTCGACTCACGTCGTTCCTTGTATTTCCATAGCACCAAGGTCACCTGCAGGACAGCTCTCACCCCCTTCTTGCTCATTGCATTTTCCCTGTCATTCCCACTGTTGGAGGTAAACCCAGTGACACTAGCATCTTCGCCTCTGAACCCGTCGCCCGAGCACAGGGCTGAAACAGAGCAGACACCAGTCAAGGGCGGTGCGTCTCTTGGTGAACGAATGAGGACTTGTTCAGGGTTGCGTAGCCGCAAGGAGACTCGGCAGATGTGTTAGCCGCAGAAGGCTCAGCCCTCCTCCTACGCCTTCAGACGTTTATTCAACCAGCATTCTCCATGTGAGCGCCCATCCGAGGCCCGAGAGATGCAATGGTGCAGAAACCTTACCTGAACATACTGACCGTCTAGCTGGGAACTAGAAACAGATAGGACACAAACCACCGGAGTGTCGTATTTTGTGTTATCTGCCGTGGCCGAGGTAAATGCAGGTGTGAAAAGGGGGCTGGAGAGGGCTGTGTTCCCCTCCCTGAGCAGGTCGGAGAGCTGAGATCAAGGGAGCAGAGTTTCCTAGGTGGACAGTTATCCTTGGAGCTTCCTGTCACCACATTCCATGAGCTGAGGCAGCACAAAGGAGCCTGGGAGGAGTCTCTCCAAAGCCCACCCCACGTGACCCCTATGGGACGTTTGTCCAGAGAAGGGAAGGCCAATGACAGCTCACTGTCCTAATCAACAATGGGAGAGTGACAAGAAGGTGGCATGTCCCCACTCAAGGTGCGTTGCTGAGGGAACAAGTGATACAAGAAAGATGAGCATGGGGCCTTGGCCTCATCTCCCTCTCTTGTCTTGATATCAGCTAAGCTCAGATTTGTTTGCAAGCAGCATGAATTGCAAAATCCAGATCCGCCGCTTAGTGCTGAAGCGAAAGTCAAAAATCCTTCAAGACAGTCCTTTAGAAAGGAGAGAGACGGTTTCGCTTGCGTATGCACGGAGATGAGATGGGGTGTTTTCTCACTGTTTTAATACAAGAGACAGGGAGACAGAGCGCTTTGGGCAAGGAGCAGATGCCAGTCCAGGGCTGTCTGTACCTGGATGAGCAAGGGAACATGCAGGGCTAATACGTCCGTCACCAGGATGAAGATCCGAGTCTCTTCCCCACCCCTCCTCCTGCCCCGATGCACCCCTGATGGTCTTCCCTGGGCCTCCCAAGAGTAACCTGAGTCCAGTCCAGCTCTTCAACACACGCTTGCCAGTTCTGGCATAAGAAGGTTTACGAATCCCACCCTGTGCTGAGATCATGGCCGTCTGCCTCTAGTCTTGAGGTACTTAGCATTGAGTTACCCTCTTTGTCTTGAAATGACTTCAATAGCAACTGCATTTGCTGGGGCACATCAGTCATTCACAAGCGGAACTATAGAGGGAGTGAAAAACTATCTGAGACACAGTCGGTTTACTTAGGCCTGGTGTGATGCCTGCCACACAACAAAATGACACTGCCGTCTGCAGTTTATTTCTCCATCCCAGGAGCGGACCTGAGACGACGGCACAAGCCTAGCTTGAGAGCAGTCAGGGACTTTGAGGCAGTACCAGTGTTACCACATGCAGGGCTGCCTCCTGGTTCAGAATGGCTACTTTCCAAATAGTGGGAAGTGCACAGTGGGCCACCTCTGTGTGAGTTTGTTTCTTGACCTTCTTTTGTTGCTTTCTGCTCCATGAGCTTAGCCAACTCCAAAGCTGGTGTTCAAGACCCCAAGAACGATTGGACCCCAGTGTGGACCATTCAGAAGAACCATTTCCACCTACGTCTCACTGTGAAGACCTTAGGCTGTTAGCTACACCTGGTCACAAGAGAGGCCGGGAAATAGTTTAGATGACTCCAACGGAGGTTCTTCCTAAAGCAGTGGTTCTCAGCCTGCCTAATGCTGCAGCCCTTTCATACAGTTCCTCATGTGGTGGTGACCCCTGACCATAACATTATTTTTGTTGCTGCTTCATCACTCATTTTGCTACCGTTATGAATCGGGTGACCTGTGTGAAAGGGTTGTTTGACTCCCAAAGGGGTCACAACCCACAGGTTGAGAACCGCTGCT